TATAAGGGCATTATAGTAATGTTGAATAGAATAAGTAGAGGTGAGATGAGAATACCATATTAGGGGTTCAAAGGGTAAAGAGGACTTAAGGGGAAAGTTGGAGAGTGAATCGTATCATTGAAACGATCGAACTTTGAGAGAAGCTAACACAAAGAAGTGAGAAAGTTAGGGCAAGGAGAATCTATTAGAAGAGCTTAGGAATCGTCAATTCAAGGTAAGGATGAGTTTCCAACTCTCTAAGGTTTTGTGTAATGATGAATTTGTATGAGTAATTTGTCTATCACCATGGGTAGAGATTTAGGTTTGTTTTGGGGTTTGTGATAATTTTGTTGACATGATGAATTCGTGATGAAATTGATGAATTTAAAGTGTATGATTTCATGTGAAATGATACCTATAACATGTATATTGATGTGTTGCTATGGTATGATTGAATGCTAAATTTTGATAAAATTGGGACTGTACTGTATTAGAATCATAAGGGAATTAGGACTGGAACTGATGCAGAAATCACAACTGAGGGTTGTTATTTTTCATGCATCGTTGAGCGAGCGAGCGAGAAGGCGAGTGAGTCACCTCTGCTTCATCAGGCGAGCCAAGTGGCGAGCGTCTGGGTGGAAAAACAAGGTTCCTAGAAAATGTATAGGAGTGTAGGCCTCACCTACGCTTCGTCGGGCGAGCCTCAGGCGAAGCAGTACCGTAGCAGAAAAATTTTGGAAATTTTGAAAAGCCATAACTTTTGACTCGGGTGTCTGTTTGACGCGCTGTTTGAACCTACAAAAAGCTAAAATTATTTTCTATCTTATAAAAATACTTTCAAACCTAGTAAGTGATTATTTGTTTGGGACTTATACCTTTTTGTATGTAATTTTGTTTGTTATGCCGAGATATGTACATGTACTTATGTATGATAATATTGTGTGATGTTGTTTGGACGGTATGATTGGTATGTAGTATGTGCGGGCAGATGGTGTTCGTATTGGAGTGTCATGTTAATAGATGTATATTATTAACATGTGTTGTTTTGTGTATGGTTGTGTTGCATGCATTTCCTATTGGGGACTACGATCCCATTTGTTGGTTCTAATCCTAGATGACGTGGATCGGGAGTGATGTTGTTGGCTCTGGTCCTAGATAACGTGGATCGGAAGCAAGGTGAACCAAAATTGTTCACTATATTGGTGGATCTAGTCCCAAATGGTGTGGATTCAAGAGCGATATTGGTACTGTTGTACCCCAAATTTTGCCCATAAGATCCCTTCATCATACCACATTGATTCAATCACAACAAGATCACATTAGGGCTTTTGGTTCTCTTCCCTATCTTTAGCCTTGCTCTTTGAGGAATCACCAAGCACATTGACTTGTTTTTCTTTTGTGATCATGCATGTTTTATTTTGACTTTCCTTTTAATTAATAAAATGCAATGTTGGTTTGTCTTACTTGTTAATAATGTAGGTAAAGGCAATGTGGCTTAGCAAGTGGATCCATGAATTAATGAGTTTATTTCCATTCCCTAGTAAATAAAGCTTGAGAAGTTCAAACCTTACCATTGAAGTTATTTTGGAAGAAACGGCATGGAAAGGTTTATCTTGGTTCAACCACATTTCAAAGTTATCAAGATTGGTTCAAAAGTACAAGGGGTTGATTGAAGAAGTAGTCATGTTTGGACAAGACTTTGTCCCTCTTGGTCACAAGTGCATATTTATCTTAACTATCAAGATATGGAAGTGGTTTTGGTTGCTATGAGTTCTCATTATTATCCTCAACAACTTCTATTTACAAATAAAGAGTGTTGGTACAAGAAGGTTGTTCAAAATTGTCAAAATTCCTCAAAGCATTTTCTTGATCTAGGAGCTAGGGTTTTGAACTTAAAAGTATATCTTGCTCATATTTTGGTATTTTTGAGTGATTTAAAATACATACTTCTCTTTAAAGGTTTATTAACAAATCACTTCAAAAGTTTCAAGGAGTTTTCATGTGTAAGAAACTTGATGATGAAGAAAGATTACAAGTCCTCCAGATGAACCCCCAATTTCCCATGTGTGACTTCAAATGATCATAAATTGGTCAATTTTTATCACCTTGATCCCACTGTTTTTCCATAATGATCTTGATGATGTTAACTTTATGCCTTATTTTATGTGCAAAGTGGGAAAATGGATGGAAGGTGCCCTAATGATGCAAAAGATTATAGGTCATTTCATGATTTTTTACCAACTTCAACAATTCATAACTCTCTCAATTTTTGGATATTTTGAATGGTTCAAGTTTCAAAATGTCATTCAATATGTCTATTTCATTCCATCTTTTTTGGTCAAGGGAAAATTCCAAGTGGAAGGCCATGTTTGGATGCAAAACATTATAAGTTACTTTTGAAGAAAAATTTGAAATATTTCTAAGTATGGAAAGTCAACCTTTTTTCCCCAACTTTGACTCAATGCAACTTTCAGCTTAAGCATCCATTTGATTCCATTATTTTCCTATTGCAAAGCTTGTAACCTCATATTTCTAAAGCATCAAGAATCATGCCCTAAGACCCCTTGAGTTGAGAATGCCATTATTTTGAAATTGGTAACTTGAAACTGAATTTCTCACTAAGTCAGAATTTTGAAATCCATAATGTGGCCTCTAATCACAAGATTTGTGCGTGTTTTTGATTTAAACTTGATTAAAAAACTTGTCAGAAGTGTTTAGCACCTCAAAACGCAAAGATTGGATGAGTTTTGGTGAAAATAAGATCACACTTCACTCGTGTCCAAACTCCACACGAATTCCCTCCAAAATGCATCATTCACTCTTTCTTTGATCTCATTTGCTTCTCCTATAAATACATGAGCCATCCCATTCATTTTCTCAAGCTTGAATAGCCAGAATCACCCTGCCAAACTTGCTCCATAACTCAATTTTCTATAACTTCAAAATCAGTGTTCAAGCATTTTTTCAATCCAATTTTTCTATCAATTCACCTTTCTTGATCTTCCATGAAGCTAACCATTACAATTACCTTCCAGAATCGTGCCCTATATTGCTCCATAGAAGTCCAATTTCAGAGCTCTGCAACTCAATTTTAATAGGTAGATTTCTCCATCAATTCTTCAAATCTTTGATATCATTGTGAAGCTCTCATTGCCCTGGTTCTAGTCGCAACACTTACTTTTATCTGGAAACACGTTTTGACCATGAAATTTCAAATCCATTTTCAAAACTTTCCTTCCAAATTGCTTGAGCTACAATTTATATAAATTTGTCGCGAAGGTGTGGTTGTCTTCGTCTTGAAGAGACGAAGCGAATGGCATAGGTCTGAGCTTCTGATTTTACAGTTTGAGATACCTCAATTCACGTTGGCTGGAGGTTAAAGATGACCAACGTGTCATCTTCCAACCAATGATGGCACGCCACTTGTTTTTTTTTTTGAAATCTGATTTAATTAATGATTCAGTGCTTTATTCACTAAAGTCCATAACATGCACAACGCGGCAGGTCCACTTGATCTGTTTACTAACGCGTTTTGACATTGATCAAATGGCCCATATTTTTTTGGTTTTTATTTTCTTTTCTGATATTTATATTTAATTGTTTTAAATTTCAAAAAAATCATAGAAAATTCATTTTTAGTCCAAAAATTATGAAAAATATTTTTGATTTTTCTCCTTCTCATTTTTATTTTCTTACAATTTTGTTTTGTGTTTTTATATTTTTTATAAATTTTCACTTTATTTGAATTGTTTTAAATGTTTAAAAATACTTTTATGCATTTTTAAATTATGCAAAAAATTATAGAATGATCCAATGATATTGTGACAAATATTGGTGACCTAATTTATTTTTTATTTCTGACTTTGTTATTTTT